CTAATCAGGATAAATTTAATCTACATCTGAGTACAACGTAGTAAAATTGCAAAACACCAAAACCAAAGAGAAAGCCTTAACATTAACTGTTGAGAAAAAACATTTCTAACAGAGGGATACCAGACTTGAACAGACATAACAGTAGAAGCCAGAAGGCTATGGAATGATATCTTCAAAGTGCTGAGAAAGAACAACTTTAAACTTAGAATTTTATATGTAATTAAGCTATTTTTCAAGAGTGGTGGCAAAGTACACTTTTAAACAAAGACTGCTGAATACTAATGAATGTGTCTTAGAAAGAAAGAAGTTGAGCCAAAGAGAAAGGACTATATTTTAAAAAGTAATGGTGAACAAATTAGTGAATGTGAATAAAGTTTTTATTGTATAAAATAATAATAATGATGATTGATATACAGAGTATAAAGCAAGGTGGAACTAAAATGTTAGATAACAATAACACATAATACAAGTAAGGTGTATTGAAAATGTTAAGGTCTTTTATATTGTTTAGGAGAAGGGAATATGTGATTTTCAATTTTAGGCATTGTTACAGTATGGTATGCCAATCTAAAATTTAGTAAAAGAATAGAAATATATAACTTACAAATCAAATTAATTCAGATGGCTCGTGGGAGAAAGTAAAAGAAACTATCAATCCATTAGAAAACAGAAACAAAGTGGACAGAGAGGTGGGGGAAGCAACAAAAAAAAAATTTAGAAAGTAAAAGTCAATCCAGAGGTATCAGTAGTAACAATTAATGTAAGTCATGTAAATCTTCCAGTTGAAAAACAATCGAATTTTTAAAGAAATCTAGTTATATGTTATTTACAAGAGACTAGAAAGTAGAGTGATGCTAAGGAAATAGTAGCCAAAATAAAAGTGCTGTAGTTATTTGACATCAGACAATATAGACTTTAGGGCAAAGGCATTGTTAGGGATAAAGAATGATACTGCACAATGATGAAAGGTTCAATACACCAGGAAGATATTATTCTAAAAAGATACACATGAAACAATCTAGTCTCAAAATATATAAAGCAAAAATTGACAGAATTATAAAGAGAAATTGACTAATATACCACCAATAGTGAGAATTTTAACGAAACTTCTCCCAGTAATTAGCAAGCATATAAGTGATACACTTAATATATTTGATATAGTAGATATGTATAGAACCATACATCTCCAAAATAAGAGAATACACATTCTCTTCAGGCACACATGAAATATTAATAAGAATTAACTATGTACCAGGCCACAAAGCAAATCTCAAGAATTTCTGCGAAGTCAGTGTCATAAAGACCACACTTTTTAAAATCCACATTGCAGTGTAATTAAAATCAGTAACAAGAAGATAACTTGGAAAGTTATATTCAGAAAGTTAAAGATATACTTCTGAATTATTTATGGGACAAAGAAAAATCATAATGGAAATTAGAAAATATTTAGAAGTGATCAACTTTTAAAACACTATCACACAAACCCAAACTGAGGGACATTCTATACAATACCTGACCAGTAGTACCCTTCAAAATATTATATGTCAAAACAAGGATAAGTAAGGATAAAGGATGACTTAGAGGTAAAATATTAGCTTTAAACTTATATATTAGAAAAGGAGAAATATTGAGTTAAGTATTCATTTCAAGTAGTTAGGAAAAAATAGAGTAATTGCAAAGAAGTAGAAGGAAGAAAAAATAAAAAGAAGAGCAAAATTTACTCAAGTAGGAAATAATCAGTAAAACCAGAAGGTTTTCTTTGATAACACTAATAAAGTAGGACTGATCAAAAAGAAAGGAAAGATATAAATAAAAATATTTGGAATAAAAAGAAGTACTGTGAATGTTTTTGTAAGCTAGTATATTTGAAAACTTAAAATGAAAATTTTCCTAAAAGGACTAAGAATATCTAAGATAATTTTGAAGAAAAAAGGAGAAGGGAAAGGAGAGGTGTTCACTTTATCAGATTTTAAGATAACCATAAAATTATAGTAATTAAAACAGCATGGTATAGGCACAAAGCTAGGCAAATCAGTGAAACAGTACAGATCTTAAAAAAAGATGTAACTATATATGAAGCAAGCATTTATATGTGACTAAGTAACATGAATTAGTGGGGCAAAGGATGGACTGTTTATTAAATGATACTGGGGAAATTGGCTAACTTATAAATAAAAGAGGAAAGTGAATTCCTCTTTTACAGAGTACCAGAAATAAATTCTAAATAAATTAAAGAACCAAACGTGAAAAGCAAAATTTGAGAACTTTTAGAAGAAAATATAGGAAAATATCTTTATGAATTCAGAGTAGGAAAGAATTTATAAATAAAAATGGAGAAGCACAAATTATAAAGGAAAATATTAAATATTTCAACTCAGTACATTAACCAACAAAGAAATAGCAAATCAGTTAGAAAGACAATAGAAAAATAGACAAAAGATAAAGATAGGCAGTTTACAGAAAAGAGGTAGAGAATGATAACCAGAGGGGAAAAAGAGAAAAATAAGTTCAAATTTATTTCATAAAAAAAAAAACAAAAAACTAAAACCACATTGAGATATCATGTCACAATCATCTGTCTGATATTACCAAATGTTAGGGAGGAATGATGAGTTGAGAGTGTAAATTTTTACAACCACTCTGGTGAATAATTTGACAATATCCAGGGAAGTTGACGTTAACTCTTAGCAGTAAGTGTAATTCCACTTCCATATGTAAATCTTATGTATTCCTTGAAGAAACTCTTACCCATTTACACAGGAAGACACCTTTTTGTAATCACAAAGAAAACAATGGTAACAATCTAAATTGTTAGAGGTCTAGATTTGAAAATGTATATTTGTACATTGAAATATTTTATATACTTTACATGAATTCAGTAGACAGATGAACTAGATTTATCTGTCTATTGAATGTTCCTTTATCCTGATTTAATGTTTGTGGTAAATGTTAATATTGTTCACTAAACATTTCCTTTCTTCTCCTGGGCATACAGCAGAGTTGCACTTTCCCACCCACTTTGAAGTTAGGTAAGGCCCTGTGACTTGCCTTATTTATTCAACCAAATGTGAGCAAAGCAATGTGTGTTACTTTGGGGTAATAGTTTTATTAAGAGTCAGTACCCAGCTCACAAACCTCTGTCACCTAGGTCCCTGAGTGATTACAATGAGCAGAGCCACTTTGCTGATTGTCATTGAATACATAGGGTGAGCAAAGAATAAATGTGTACTATATTGAGTACCTGGGGGAGTGGGGATTGTCTGTTACTGCAGTCTGTTACCTACAATATTATTTTATGTCTCAGCTCATTTTACTGTGCATCTCGTACCACTTCCTTAACTTCTATCTTCCAAATCACAGAGTACCTCCTCTTTTTCATGAGACAGAGGTATCATGACTTAGCCTCTAAATATAGTCCTTCATCTGCCTCTTTTCAAAGTCATGGGGAGCTTCTCTCTAAACCCCTTTTCTGTTAGGAAACCGTCTTTACAGGTTATTTATCAGTGTTTTTGCTTTTTTGCTTTGGAGTTAAGCTTCATAGTCAAGGGATTCATTACCAGAAAATCCATCCTGTCTTCCTCTCTTTTTTATCTGTGGATGACTGTCCTCATCTGCAGAGAGCAAAGCAATTAGTGTAGGTCTGTGAGATGAGGGCTCAAGTACAGGCATGCCCAACTTTGGAAAATAAATGCATTGCATAAAAGATACATGTAAGATTATTTACTCCACAGCATTATGAAGTTAGAAATGTTTTGGCATGGTGGTAGTACTGCTCACCCTCTCTCTTTTCAGAGAGTATTGGACTGAAAAGTACAGTATATATCTAATGAGAAATAGCCTTTTTTCCAATCTATTTTTAAATTTATATAAAGAAAGCTGTAAATCTTGAACGTAAGGGGTTAGGGTTAATTGTTGATTTGGATTAAATAACTTAAATGTATGAAGAAAATCCCAGCACAAGTAAATGCACAGAAAAGGTGCCAGGGGTCTTAAAAGGCCCTCACCTTTTATCATTCTTTCTTTAGTGTTTAGAGACTACATCATTTCTGGACAGCTATCATTTTGCAGAAGCCCTTCATTTTTATAAATGAACACGTTCGATATGGATTTGAAATATAGAAAGAGATCCAGAATCAAAACAGAGCTGGTGTTTCAAAATACAGCAGCTTGTGAACAAAGAAAAGACCATGTGTTGAAATGCACAGAATAATAAACAAACAATAAACGGAAATGAATCATGCCTGAGGGACACTGTGTATTCTGAAAAGAGATTGGTTCATGCCTTGGATCACTTTCTTGCTTTATGAATTCTAAAATACTGGAAAATATATACATATTCTTTCTTTAAACAAATTTATTATATTTATTACATGTAATAAATATGTACAGTTTAGAGAATATTAATAAAACTAGTGCCTATGTACCCACCGCCTAACTTAAAAACAGAATAAGACCAGTACTTCTGAAGCCCCTCCAAAATTTTATCTCCCCCTTTCTAGACAAATTATCCTGAATTTTGTATCATAATTCCCTAGATTTCCTTTTTAATTTTATATTTATATTTATATTTCTAGTTTTGCCTTTTTAAAACATTGTATAAATGAACTCATACTGTTTTTGTCTTGCTTTTTTCACTCATCATTGTCTTTTGATTCATTTATTTGCATATAGCTGTAGTTCATTAATTTTAATTACTGTGTAGTTTTCCATGTAGTAATATTTCTCAAATGTATCCATTCTGTATTTTATGGAGTATCATGTTTCTTTATAATGAAATTATTTAGGGTTAATTGCTACATGTGGTTTGGTTTATTCCAACCTTAGGTTCAACTATTTTTTTTAAGCTATTTGTCATGGAAAATGTGTTCATATCTTGATATAATCAAGAAGCTCTAATTTCCCTTTTATCATTCATTTGAGATAGAAATTAATTAGTTTTGTTCATAGCACGCTATTGGGCTACTCTTATCTTGATGCCAAATCTTATGTTGGATTCACAGTTCCCATGGAGAATGTTGCAACAATTGCTGATTGTGCCAGTGTGATTGAAGGAGTCAGTCGGAGCCGAAATGCCTTGCTGAATGGGGACACCAAAAATTATGATTGGGATTCTGGCTATACATGTCATCAGCTAGGAAGTGGTGCGATTGTTGTTCAGCTGGCACAGCCGTACATGATTGGGTCAATACGGTAAGAAGATTCCTTGTAATTCTTTACTTTTAAAATGGAGGACACACGTGCAAATTGTGCTTCAGTACAGTGATGATTCTGAAGACCCTCTTTTTGTTCTTTGCTCTAAATATCGAGAAGGGGAGGGATAGGGATAGGACAAAGCTACAAGGTGCTTGTTTGGATTCTCTAGTGGGGAGGTGTGCACCAAAATTAGACTAGTGGAGGGACTAGATGAGAGGCCTCTTCTTAGATATGGCTTACCTCCTTCTCAAGTCTCAGTTTGTATTGGTTAAGGACTTATAGGATAATGTCAAGACAGGCTATATAGAATCAAAAATCATTTTCAACTTTAATAAATGACTTTACATAGGAATCAAACACTTCTGAATATGAGGCCTGCTTCTAAAAAATCTTTTTAATAATCTTTATGTCTGGTTTTTAATTGTCATTTTCTTTTAAGAAAAGAACTTTAACCAAATATTGCTTGATTTATAGGATCATATAATTTTAAAATGTGAGACTGGTGATATCCCCTAGAGCAGGGGTCCCCAACCCCCCAGGCTGTGGTCAGTGGCCTGTTAGAAACTAGGCCGCACAGCAGGAGGTGAGCGGCAGGGAGGGAGCGAAGCTTCATCAGTATTTGCAGCTGCTCCCCAGCACTAGCATCACCGCCTCAGCTCCACCTCAGATCACCAGGTGCCATTAGATCCTCATAGGAGCACCGGTCTCTGGTGCCAAAAAGATTGGGGACCGCTGACCTGGAGGATGTACTTTTAGTTCAAGGGAGCCATCTGGGTCTTGAATAGGCTGCACTTTTTTTTTTTTTTTTTAGTGTTCTAAGAAGGTCTCTGAAAGATTAATGGTATTTATATTTATATTTTAGATTAGATATTTTACATTATATCTTAGCCTTCTGGGGCACATGGCCATCTTCCTACCATCATGCTCTACCACATTTGCTTTGTTGTTTCCTGTTCTCTAAATTTTAAAGTCAGTATGTATAAAGAGAGAAATAGCACACAAAAAAATAAGATAGTAAGATTCTAATAGGCAAATGTTTTTTGACATTTAGGCTAATAACCTTAGAAGTTATTGTTGCTTGCCCGTTCCTGGGGTACTCTGACAAGTGGTGGTGGATTTCTTGGGGAATTCAGTCTGTGATTTCTTCATTTAAATTGTCAATTCCATTTCATAAAGGACTGCATGCAGACTGAATACCGTAAACAACAAATCATGGATAGAGAAGCCCTGAATTTATACTGCAGACAAGACAATTCACTTTGTGCTTCGGAAAGGGGAAGAGACAAGCCACAGTCAGTCTGAATAGCTCCTAGTACAAATAAACTTCCGTCATGTAGCGAACAACACCCCCTCCTTCCTTTTTCTCAGCTGCATGCATTAACTAAAGTATTCATAAGCCATCTATTTTATAAGCCATTCTAGAATTTTTGTCATAGATGGTATGAAACTTATCTGAATATGTCTCATTACACTCTATCCCTCTTCACTTTAAAAATCTAGGAAACAGTTGTCCTTCTCTTGTCAGTGGCACTCCTATAGTCTCCACAATTTCTTGAAGATTACCAATCGTGTCTCTGAGATTACATCTGCAATTTCTTTCAGCAGGCTTGTGGTGTAACTCATCTGAGCCAGGAGACTTGAAATCATTTAAATTGACTTGATACTTTCTTTCTTTCACTTCACCTATTTGGGGCTTCAATTTTCTCTTTATTATGTTTGTTCTGCCATTTGTAATTTGAATACCAGTCTCTCGCCAGTGAAGGTGAAAGCAAACTGACAGCTTAGTAGCTCTGCCCACTCTCTTTTAATGTTCCCTGTATTCTCTCTGCTTACTTAGTACCTCATGCCCCCCAACATAAAAATGTTCCATGTACATTTCAAACCAATGTGTCAGAAATGGAATTCCATTAACCTCCCCTTCTGTTCAAGGTGCTTCACACCGTGATTCCCCCTCTTATTCAGTGGCACCACCCATCTATCCATCACCTGAGCAAAAAACATGTGAATCTTTCTAAATTTCTTCCTCATCTACCCCACTCAACGAGTCAGCCCTAAAGTGCTGTCAATACTACTAGCTCCTACATGTCTCACAGATCCCCTGTTCCCCATCCTCACTGCCATCACCATAACTATACCTTTGTAGTTTCTCTTACCTACCTGGTCTTCCAGACTTTCATCTAACCCTTCCTTCCCCTCCTGCAGCCATCTCCCACAGTGTTACCACAAGTTTGATTCCATCATGCCCCTTCCTAAGAGGATTCATGGCTACTATTTGCCTTTAGGAAAAAGTTCAGATGAAGGCACTTGAGAATGATCTGACTTGCTTCTGTCTGTACAGCCTGTCTCCTGCTTCTCCACCCATTCTGCACATGCTCTGCCTACCCAGCTCCTCATAGTTCTGCACATGCCTGTCACCCCTCTCTTATCCCCATGTTGTCCACTCTTTGAACTTACTGTTCTCATTGCTCATATCTCTCACTACCTTCTTACCACCCCCTTTTTACCTGGCTCTTATTCTCCCTTCAGGACTCTATTCTTTCGAGAATGCTTCTTTAACCTACCATTATCTCCTGGGCTGATTTAGACATTCTTGTTCAGTGATATCATACATTCTGCATGCCATTCCTATCCGAGCATTTGTCATATTTGTATTGTAACTATTTACTTGCTGCCTCCTCCCAGCTTCACCTGATTATAATAAAGCCTGTAGCAACTCAGAATAAGCATCCCTTGACAGATTAAATGTGCAGATGAGGTAGTCTGTCAAGATAGAAGGGTAAATTATCATGGGTATAGTAGGAAATCTGGAATTTTAGATCCATCAGGGACCTCATGAGGTCTTTGCCAAGGTGACAACTCAGAGACAAACAGGCTCTTATGTGACAAGGCCGCCTTGGCCTCTAGCTTTATTCAGAGAATCAGAGATGCTGAATCTGACTCCAGAAAAAGATGTCATCAGGGCGTTAGGCAAGAGAGAACAGTGTCCATTTGGCTTTCTTTAAATGTGGAATGAAAATGATTCCCCCAAACAATTATTCTTTTCCTTCTCAGAGGAGGGATGATGAGCATGAGCACAACCAAAGGCAGAAATGTGTGTTTCAGCACATTATGAAGCCTCCAACTTTCTTAAGCCCAGCTATTGTTTCTGCAGTGAGAAAATCCATGCAATTGAAGCCCTGTGTAACTGGCTGAGCGCTCAGAGAGACACGTATCTGTGAAATTCACATTATGTTGTCAGGAACTGCATTTGCCTCTTCTGTGACATTATTAAGAAGAAAGGGAGAAGGATTTCTTGACCACTGATGCCTGTGGATGATGCTGGATATCTTGGCAGGCCATGGTTAGCAGCAGCTGATGTGCCAGATAGATGTTTATTGATAGGAAAGTAGATCAGTGGCACCTCATCATGGGGATGGATAATTGACCGAAGACGGTTTGATTAGTCAGTCAGTGACATTTGACCTACAGCTTCTATTGCTTGTGATTACTGACTCGCTTTCCTAGTCACTGTACCCAGAGAAGCCCTGTGATTTTGAGTCAACGCCTGGAGGGAGAGCATCGCAGAGCCCAGTGACTAGCACTCGCCCCCCCGAAAGGTGGCCTGGCACTCTCAGAGACTCTTGGTGCACTGGCTTTAAAACTCCCATTTCTTTGTGGATGGCAACTACAAGGGCAAAGGTCTCAAACAGCAGTTATCTCAACCACTGCGTTCTTTATTCCTAAGAGAGGACATGATTGTTTTATGGGTAAAAATTCCGTTTCTTTGTCTGTTTTCATCCCCAGAAACCATTTCTTCCTTTCCTGAGAGTTAACCCTATAGCTGAGTAGGCACCGAACTTTCTTTAATGCTTGCACCTAA